CCCGCTCCTCCCCTTGGCTGCCGGTGCTGTTCCGCGTCGCTCAGCTGTCGTGGCTTTACCGAAACCACCCGGAGTGGAGCCGCAGGCTGGCCACGGGACGCAGCACGGCTGGAAGACCCGAGCAGGCCCGGAGACGTTGGCAGGGAGCGATGGCTGCCTGGGGAGGCTGCGGGCTCGAGGAGACGGCGATGGGGTGACCCGAGGCTGGGGATTGATCTGTGGTGGCTAAAAATAAGGGTACAAGCTGCCGCCGGGTTTCCTTTCCGCCATAATGGTTCTCCTTCGACTCGTGCGGGTGCAGCCCAGGCAGCTCTGACCGGGAAGCCTCGGGCTTCGCTGGTGGTTAAGGGGAAAGGAAGGATGGGAGTGGGACTGGGTAACACGTCTGGGGCAGAGCTGGCCAAACTGCAGGGTAAAGGGTCGTTTTTAGGCTCAGCTGTTCTCTCCACCCCTTCTGGGGTCTGGATGGATGTTGGGAACGAAGATCTGGCAAGAGTGTCGGAGAACGGGAGCTCCCTGGCAGCATCTGGGAGCTCCCAGCATTGTTGGGGATGCTGGGAGCGAGGGCGGGAGGGCTCCGTCTTCCCAGCGCCCGGCTGAAAGAGCAGGGTACGGTTTCCTGCTGCCTTAAAACCCGGGCTGAGACCAAAGGGGAAGAGCGGGACCCAGAAAGTGAGGATCTGGGGGGGCTGGGAAGCCCCGGCGTCACGCAGGCGGTCGATCTATACCTGGAGCCTCTCGCCCTCTTACTTCCCTGCTGGAAGAGGCTGGCAGTTGTTGTATCGATGCTGGCGCAGGGATTTCTGTGGAATAAACCATTTTAAGCACCATTCGGTGAGCGATCCCTCAGCTGTGAGCACTGGCAGGCGAGTGTTGGCTAATTAGAGATGGCGAACGAGTAGCCTGTGAAACTCCCGCGTCTGTCGTTCTTATCTTCGTTAAGGCTGCTGCGACACTTCACCTGTTAATTATCACAGTGCCCGGCCAGCAGCCTGGTTAGAGAAGATCTGCGTGAAGCCCGGCAGTCCTAAAGTTTATTGTTTCTTCTTAACGAAGATAAGAGCGCGTGTTTTCAAAAGCAATTAGTGGTTTCGCGTTGCTGTAGTATCTTTTTAAAGCAGCCTGGCTTTTCTTTCTCCTGAGAGAGGAGAGCTGAAGCGCCGCTCAAAAACCCTGTGGAGGGGGTGTCCCAGGTCACTGGGGGTGTCTGAGCCCCCGCTGCTCTGCCCGGAAGTATTTTTGCAGGTAAAGGCACCGTCGGCCCCTGCTCCGGCCGGCGACGCCGCAGGGGGGCAGCAATTCCTTCCGCAAGGGAAAAAAAGGGCTGACTTTTGCAAACTGCATCATAACCCGCCTTCCTAAAAATAGCCTGGCTTCCCCGGCGCTGCTGGGAGGTGTCGCAGCCCGTCGCGACGCCCGGCTTCGTCAGGAGATGGCGAAGCCTCGACGAATAAACGCTCTCTGGCCACTCGCAGCTCCGGCGGAGCCAGAAAAAATCCCCGAGCCGGAGATTCATTAAGATGTCGGCGAGGCCGGCCGGCTTCTGGCTCCGGAGGGATCCCGGCGGCTGTGGGATCGCCGTGCCGTGCTCTGCCGCGTCTCTTGCTCGCGGCCCGGGTGGAAGTGGGATGGCTTCTCCCTCTACCGCCTCCTCCCCCCAAAACGAACAGCCCCTGGGGAGGTTTGTGGCTTCGACTGACCCCCAAAACGTGAAGCGTGAGTGTGCTTCAAGTGATGGGAGCTCCGAATCTCAGCTCTGCTGAATTTGAGGCTGTTATCCCTTTGGAAGCAGACGATAAATCGGGACGAGGTGGCCAGCGCCTGCGTCTCGATCGCACCCACCGGCTGCCCAGACCGCTCCTCCTTCCCCACCCTACCGCAACCAGGCCGTTCCCGGGCATCGCTCAGTCCCATCCTTCTCTCTTTCTCTCCCCAACAGCTAAGAAGAAGAACAAGAAGGGCAAGACCCTCACTCTGACGGACTTTCTGGCGGAGGACGGTGGCGGTGGCGGCGGCCCTACCTATATCCCCAAACCCGTCAGCTGGGCCGATGAGACAGATGACCTGGAAGGAGACGGTACTGTCATTTCCCGGCTCGCAGGAGTGCGCGGCTCCCAAATCAGTAAAACACCGACGCCAGAAGTCTCTTGGCCTGCGGCATTAAAGGAAGAAGCGCTCCGCTTCTGGCTTCCTCCTGGGGTTTGAGGGATGCGGAGGCAGTTCGTCCGCAGCTAGATCCTTCCCCTTCTTTTCACCGCTGCCGGGGGGGCGGGGGGGAACCGGGTGGGAAGCGTTGGTAACCGCACCGCCGCCAGCTCCCGGTTTGGCCGTACCCTTGATCAGCCGGTGACCTGGAATGACGCACCCAAGCATTGCAAAATTTGCTGGTTGTTTCTTTTCTGGGCAGTAATTAAGCTCAGAGAGCAAACCGAGTCCTTGTTACGACCGAGACTCGCAGTCTGGAGGAGGGGAGGGAGATTTGCGCCTGCACGGGGAACAGAAATGGGATAAAGAGGTTTTTGTCGGTGTCACCGGAGCAGAGAAAGCAAAGGGTGGGCAGATTCACCGAAGCCCAGGGGTTCACCGGTGAGCGCGGTGACCTCCGGCTCAGTGGTCATTAAAACATTAGTGTCGAGCCGTGGTATTTTTCCACGAGATGGGCTGCAATTCAAACAGGAATTAATCCCGGGAAGGTTTAATGCTTTATTAAACGGGTCACCGGACTAAATGGCCGCTCTCCCTTGCGGTTTTAGCCTGCCTCGGTTTCTCCTTGGGGGCTGCTGGTGCCTCTCGGGCAGCTTCTTTCATGCTGGGTCGAACAGCTCGGCCGGATGAATTTCAGGGCTTTGAGGTGCAGCTCCTGAGTCGTAACGCCGCTGTTGGCACCGTGCGGCGAGGACGATGGCGTTGGCAGTCGCCGGTCTCTAGCTGGGTGGGTTTTGGGTGACTTGCCAAATTTCTCTCTTTAGTTTCTACCACCTGGCACAGTAATGATGACGATGTGTACCGGGCCCCTCCGATCGACCGCTCCATCCTGCCCACCGCCCCGCGGGCTGCTCGGGAACCCAACATAGACAGAAGCCGCCTCCCGAAATCCCCCCCCTACACCGCCTTTCTGGGAAACCTGCCCTACGACGTGACGGAAGAATCCATCAAGGACTTCTTCAGAGGACTCAACGTGAGTAACGGCTCGGAGCCCGGTCTGGGCTGCGGGGCAGGGCGATGCTGGGGGTAACGTGGGCCCGTAGAGATCGTGATTTTGGATGCTGCAATCCCCGTTCGCGTTCCGCCGGCTCCGTGCGTTGGTTCCTGCTTCACCGCGGATCGGCCGAGGCAGCTCCCGGCTCCGGCGGGTATGTCTGTGTCTGGAGCTGGCTGCGAGGGGCGGTTTCCAGATGGCCGCGGCTGTCGGATTGCTTGATCTCAGGCGAGTCGCTTGACTACCAGCAAGCAAACGGCTGTTCCCGCTGTTTCAGCCACGATGGTGACGGAGCAAGAACCCTTCTAAAGCGGGTGGCTGGTGTTTCTCCTGTTGAACCAGGCGAATAGAGGAGGTTGGGCTGGATCTCGGGGTGATTTAGGGTGCATAGCTGGTGCCAAACGCCCACCCAGCTGCTCACTCGCTCCCCCTCCGTGGGGCAGGGGGAGGAAATAGGATGAGAAAGTTTGTGGGTCGCGATAAAGACGGGGAGGTTGTTACCAGTTAGTCACAGGCAAAACAGTCTCGACTTGGGGAAAACTACATTTATTGCCGATTAAAATAGACTTGCTATCGCTATTACCTGCTCCAGCACCTGGAGCACCTCCTCCTCCTCCTCCTCTTCCTCTGAAATTTGCGTTCCCTCTGCTGGTTCTCACTTTTTTCCCCCTCCTCCTCTGCCTGCCTGGCATCTTCTGCCCTGTCCTAAATACAATTTCACGGAGGCACCACAGACTTTGCTGACGGGCTCCAATTCAGCCTGCGCTGGGTCCGGTCCTCTCAAGGGGTTTCCCGGCTGGAGCTCGCTCGAGATACGTCCCGCCCTGCGGCCGAGAGCAGGAGACGCTCCCGGGTAGCCTGCGGCTGCCACAACAATATTATTTTTCCCAGCTTTAAGAGTGTTGGAGCCCTTGGGTTGTTCGGGGAGGAGGTGGGGAGGGACAGCAAGCAGCGATGGGAAATGGCCGCTTCCCTCCCGGAAGGTCAGCCTGGGAAATGCAGCCGGAGTCCAGCATTCCCCGCGTGGCAGCGAGCCGTGCTGATGGCAGCAGATAGCTCCCCACGGGCAGAGCCGTGCCGCTTAACCTCGATCTGTTCTTTTCAGCTTGTTTTTCTAACCTTTCGTGCTTGCTGAGGCAGCATCCACTCCTCCTCGGAGGGTAATAGCGTGGGTGAAACTCCTGTAGAGGAGGAGGAGGAGGGAGCTGAGAGGCGGCAGCCCTGGCCAAATCTAGGCAGAGGGGTCAGTGCTGCGCAGAAGAATAAGCAGCAAAGCACGATGGTGGCCCTCGCCCTTGCAGGAGTCATTTGCTCCGCATCCGTCGCTCATTCTCCCTGCCCAGCCTCTCCTGGTGCTGGTCTGAGCGGTGGTTCCTCACGCGCGGCTCGTCCGAAGGCGATTTGTGCCTTCCCTGTGCCGGCACGTGATGAGCTCCGCAGGCTGCTGCTGCTGCTTCCCGGGCCTCTGAGCGGGGAGTGACCTGGGAGCCGCCGCGCTTTGGGAACCTAAATCCGGCGAGGAGAGGTTGTCGAAAGCCTTAGTGCAGCGGGACGTCTGGTAGGGCCTGGGAGCGACGCTGAGGGCTTCGAGCCTGACATATAACCTAGCCGAGCCAGCAAGCTGTCCTCGCAGCCTGAGGACTCGTGTTGAACACGCAGAGTCTCGGGTGGACAGATCCGAAACTGGTTTTCGACCGGGGACGAGCTCTGAAAGCGGGCGGGATGCAAAGGGACGGCTCCTGCTGGCTTGAGGAGCCTGCGGCCGTGGGGTCAGAGCCTCTTTCTTGGGGCGCAGAGCAGCTATCACCCGCTGAGCGGAGCTGTCCCGGCCCTTCAGGTCAGTTCCCGCTGCAGCTACTGGAGATCTGCAGCTGGAAACCTCTTGCCGGTGCCAAATTCCTCCCTCCAAACAAGCGTCGGTGGCACTTTAATGTTGTGTGCTTGAAGGGGGAGTTGAACCTCCCTCCTTCCTGCTCATCGTTGAGAGGATTTATTCGGTCCCTCGATAGCAATGAGTTGCGTCGTCTCGGATAACGCAATCCTCGCCCATCGTACTAACGCCGGGGAGCAAGAATCTTAACGAGAGCTTTCCTCTTCTCTCTGACTGCAGATAAGTGCTGTACGTTTGCCGCGGGAGCCTACCAACCCGGAGAGGTTGAAAGGTTTTGGTTATGCTGAGTTTGAAGACATAGACTCCTTGTTCCAGGCTCTGAGCCTCAATGAGGAGGTGAGTCCCACCCCTGACGGAGCAGGACGCTGCCTGCCCAGCCCCCGAATGCCCACCCACACCCACACCCCCCCCCACAGCCGGACCGGGCCG